AATCATTTGCTTCATGAACACATACAACAATGCATATTTCCACTGAGATCAGTGACCTTTGATGTGTATCACCAGTGATCAGTCAAGTAGAAACAGTCAAAATATTTTATCAGATTTTCTCAATTTTTGCATGATATTTTCATACAGGACATCTGTTATTCAAACTCAGGGAAGACTTTATACTGATGAATAAGGTGACCAAGTTTGATAAAGTTTGGAATAGAATTAGTAAAGTTATTATGCACACACCAACAATTATTAACGACGACAACGACAACAACAACAACGACAACAACGACAACGCCGGACAACATTTTTCCCTTAATATACCTTTCCCTTCCATCTTTGATGGTACGGGCAAGGTAAAAACAATAGAAAGCCTTGATTTAAATTATTATACAAATTAGGTAATTAATATGCAGATATGTATTCAAAACTAATTAGGTCTGTGCATAGTCAGCGGAAAAGCCGAAAATGTACAAATTATGCAATTAATATGCACACATATTATCATTCAAAACCTATCAGGCCTGTGCATTTTTCCAGAGCATCTATGCACAACTTTCATAAAAATCCAATGAGAACATGGCATTTTCGATATCAGTGGAACTGTCATGAAACAGCTAAAAATTGCTACATGTAATTATCATGCAAAATAGGTAATTAATATGCATGATGTAAACCAAAACCTAATCAAATCTGCATGAGCCCAGAGCATCAACGCAAGTTTCAACACATGGTTCTTGCGATATCAGTGGGACAGACATAAATACAAACAGACACACTAACTGCAAAGACTCAGGAGTCAAAAAGATGAGGTGGAGGTGGCGGTGGTGGCGGTGGTGGTGGCGGTGGTGGCGGCGGTGGTGGCGGTGGCAGTGGCGGTGGCGGTGGCAGTGGCGGTGGTGGTGGTGGTGGTGGCGGTGGTGGTGGCAGTGGCAGTGGCAGTGGCAGTGGCGGTGGTGGTGGTGGTGGCGGTGGCGGTGGTGGTGGCGGTGGCGGTGGCAGTGGCAGTGGCAGTGGCAGTGGCAGCATGGAGGTCAATGTCATCAGTAAGTACAGCAGTGACTGTATGTCTTTGAATGTCGAAGACAAGTACAATGCAAATGTCTGTAAAAATGAAATTAATGACACTAACGAACTTGAGTATAGAAACCAAGCTCATAATTAACATCATTAAAAGCAGAATTACACTGTACGAACTTCAATATGAAGGTCAAGCTCAATGCTATCAACAAATAAGGCATATTGACAGCCAATTCTTTATAACACATGTACAACCCCCTAAATGCTATGACATCCAGGAATATATATGCCCAATTTTCGGTAATTTCTGGTGAGTCTGATTATGGCCATTATCATTATTGAAATTACTGAAAATGGTTAAAATTCTGTCAGTTAAGTACCAAAAAATGGCAAGAATTTTGACCATCGGACTAATGATCGGTAGACCCAAGTTCAAATCCTACCTTAGGCTGAACATCAAAAGGGTCGACCCCTACCCTGGATGAGTGTGCCACAGACACAATGGGAAGGCCAATTCCACTGGCGGAGATTCATTCACTAACGAATGCGACTTGGGGGAACTTTGGTTAAGGTGCTTGTGTTTGACTAAGCATGGTTGACGCCAGGATAGATTAAAATTGCCCTTTCAATTGATAGGGAGATGGCCACATAGCCCTGTCATGTACGTATTCCCAAATGAATTTTTCCCGAAAAAAGGAATTTACCGGTATTTAAATGGCACAACAAATAATTGGGTGGTAATTATTTCTGTTTATAACAACTACAATTACAAAGAATAAGCAAATAAAGGATGCATCAGGAAATGACCACCACTCTGTTTGAATCTTGCGACAGTCAAAGGAAAAGAAAACAGATCCAATATGAACAATTCACTGACCATGAGAAAATCAAAGAAATGAAGCCTGTGGCGGTTTCACACTGCTGTCATTTCTAATCATTCAATCAAATTCTCAACCTAATTAATTGCAAATTGGAGGAACTAGGTGAGACAAGGTATGTACTTCCAATTCACTTAAATTAGATGACATATGAACTGGGCTGCTGGCGGAAATGAAACTGAAGTAAATTCCTTGGAAATTTGGTGTACTTTGGTAATTGTGTCCTTGAGGTAAATTTAGCTTTGAGAAATTGAATACATATTAACACAACATTTCTACATCATTTGCACTTTGTTGGTAAAGCAATATGGATATATTACGAGTAATGTATGTATCTCTAGCATGGTAGCGAGAGGGGGACAAATCTTTGTTTCTAGTATTTAGTATATAGTTTTTAGTACATGACGATGTTTATTTAAACTATGATAAATCACTACTTAAATGGGTGTATGAAATATTAAAGATACTAGCATTCCCATGTTCTTGCATAAAGTTTCTTTTTTGAGAAGCTTTGATAAAGTACATATTTGATTGTTCATTTTGTCTTACCAAATGCACTTGAACTAGCCTAATTGTATGTGAATAGTGTGGAACAGTAAAATTTCACAATTGGTTATCCCTTGATTTATATATTTACATGAATACTAACATGTCATTGGCAACAAGCACAAAGTTTTCCCCCTAATTTGCCACATCTTGTATGAAATTATTCTTACCAACATGAAAAATATGTTCTACAGTGCATATCAATAAATTGTCTGATCATTCTTTCTGTCTCAATAATCTCCTAAAATATCATGGTCTATTCAAGATGTGTTAGAATTAAGTCAACATTTGACCACAAAACATTGCAACTGGCACATTTTCAAAAAAACACAGCCATGACTGGCTTGGGTCAGTTTAGCATACTAATTTCTACCCATGATTCAACTTTAAATAAGTAGTGAATTACTGTGCTTGAAAACAGTTTTATGCAAATACTTAAAACAGTCAGGATACATTTAAATCAAAGAAAGCTTAGAAAGAACTCCCATGTGCTGAGAGTATTGGAGACACATTAAATATAATTCAAAATTACAT